TAAGAATGCATGGAAGCTTTCAGCAATTCTCTTAGATGTGCCACAACAGCTAGTCGGACATTTCTGTGATTGTTTTCTTTGCCAGAGATCACAAAGGACAAACTTCTAAAGAAACAATTACCATCACCCTCAGTAGGTACTGTTTTACATGGTTCACCAATTTCCACGCCAAGCTCCCGATCCTGACACTTCGATAAACGTTGATGTTGAATAGGAAGAGTTTTGCACAGCTCTTCACATTCATCTGAAGATACAGGGCAGAATAGCGTCGCATTTTGGTCAGGACCCATGAAGATTCCGGGGTAGAATAGGTCTTCAGCAACCCATGCTTGCCGTAAAAAAGCGACTATGCTTGTCGTAAAAGGCGACTAACGGGATCGGGTGGTCAGGCTCGCTGACTTGGTTGATGCATGTCATCGATCCCAATTGCGTGGATCGATGCTCATGATATCAATCACTGGATTGTCTGGTCCAGACTCGATTATTTACAGACCGCCGTCATATAGCTGGAATATTGCAGAGTGCGGCGTTTAACAACCAACCAACCAACCATTTTGGTCAGTCGCAGTTATCTCCACACTACCATCTAGTGAGTTCTCATCAAGTTCATCAATATGCACCACATCATCCCGATCATTCTCATTAGTTTCACGTGCCGCATCATCAGGCCCATTAAATAGCATCGCACTTTGGTCAGTCTCAATCATTTCCACACTTCCATCCTCTGAGTTGTCGAGTTTATCAATATGCACTACATCATCATTATTATCATTGGTATCACTTGTATTGTCAGACTTAATGTCAAAAGTAATGCCATCTGCCTCAACCCCAGTGGTAATTCTCATGCTCGTCACTTCAAATTGTGTCTCTGCAATTAGGTTCATTGAGCGTGCAAGATTCAAACAGTGTTCATGGACCTGATGCAGGCTTGTGTACTGGATAAGAATGCTAGTACCATCAGGGACTTGTAATCCTTCAATGTTCCGAGAACGGGAATATAACACTTGGTATTTCTCATTTCTTTCTATCACATCAAATGTTGCTCCTCCAAATGTCACAAAAGTTGCGTCATGGTCTGAAGATACTGTTTGAAGTGCAGCATCGAGACACATCTGTTGTGGAATATCTACGTTTTCATCATTATCCTTCATCACAAAGCCAGTCAGAGAATCACCCCCAAAAGATACTGACCTCAGTGGGGGAAAACATACACTCTTTAGTTCCATTTGCACAGAAGTAATATTTTATCACCAGCATGAGGAAACTCCAGCAGAGAATAGTTAAAACCCAAACCTACCCTCAGACACCACACTTTGATTTGCCATTATGATCACAAACTGCTCATGCCCCCACCTCAGTTGCCATCTGCCCAGGTTGCCATCATGTCTCAGTTGCCACCACCCTCACTTGCCACCTTCCGCCCGCCTCAGTTGCAGCCAACCTCAGTTTCAGCCAACCAGTTGGCTACGATGAATTTTTCACACATCCGATCCATAGTGGAATTGGTTGTTTAAAATCTGTATCAATGTTTGTAAAGTAATATTTTCGTTTCGCTACAACTTGGACTGTATGTAAATGAAAGCCACAAAAACCATTTCATAATCACACAAATGTTTTACCAGAAGCAGAATTGATTGTATGAATTAAGTGATTCATAAACACATGCTTTTGATATGGTCAAAAATATGGAATGGACTCTTCTTTTAGTAGAGATTTATTATGATTATGGAATTGATTTTGTGGCTATTATTTACATTCAAGTCATCAACACATCAGGGTCCCTCCACATTGTAATTTCGACAGTGGAGGGAGTTCCATGAAGGTGTGTTGATGACTTGACATCACCTCAAGGTCCCTCCACGTTGTAATTTCGACCGTGGAGGGAGCTGTAACCTTAGGTTCCGGGTACTTTACCCCTCCACCTTTGGTCACTTGTACTTATCAACCACTCCTTGGTTCTAGGGATGATGTAGCTCTCTCAAAATCACAAGTCAGATGGTTTGCTCAAGTCCTTTTTATTTATGATAGAATTAATCATAAGTATACACACATGGTCCTCAGATAAGTTCTTGTTGTTGCCTGTATTACTTAAGTACAACACATACCTAGATGATGCGTTGAAGAGCCTTATGGTTTTTCTGATGAACGTTTAACTCTACTTCTTTTCTGACTCGGGATCCCAAAACCACAGTGAACCTTTCTGTTCAGCTGTATGCTCCCGACTCCCCGCACCCCTCTCGGACAACTAACAAAATACTATCGATGATAATTTTAGCTCCTCCCTCCAAACTCACATTTGACATCATGAGAAATGAGTCATAATGGTCATTCCCCAATTTCCATAGTAATTAGTTTTACCATAAAGCCCTTCTGACTAACCACTTTGATTACCTCCTTAGGGTCATTGGTCAACTTGGACATACTCATATAATCAAATCAAATACCCTCAACTACTTCTGCCAGACTGGAAGGCACCGAAAAGATACTTAATCCTGTTATTTAGACATTCCAATCAAGCAGTAGTATTCAGAAATATTTGATCACCACTAATCAACAATTTTGTTCCATCCATCTGTCGCTCTTCTGACATTTTTATTGCAGGTCCGTATTCTACTAATTTCCTCAGACTAATGAAAAGTTATCTCTATCACTTAAGAGAAGCAAAATCCATAATCATTTGCCCTGGGGGTTATGCCCTCACCCTGTACGGTCACTTCTCTCATATGCATCCATATTTTTACCCAAAAGCTTAATTTAGTAAACTACATTTTAAGTAAATATTAAAAACCCCTTTTTCCAAAATACCCTGGTTATAGAGCCCCATAAAGGGGTGCTGACAACGACCTGAATAAAGTCTCCTACACAATGTAATTTCAATGGCAGAGTGAGTCTCTTCCCACCTGTCTCAGTTGCTACCAGCTGCCAGCCTCAGTTACATGCCCCCGCCTCAGTTGCTATCTGCCCTGGTTGCCATCCTGTCTCAGTTGCCACCTCCCTCACTTGCCACCTTCCGCCCGCCTCAGTTGCCGCTCGCCTCAGTTGCAGCCAACCTGAACTGCAACCAGCCACAACCCTCTGTTGTCACAAGTAACCTGCCTGATTTGTCACAAGTAACCTGCCTCAGTTGCCCCCAGCCTCAGTTGCTGCCAGCCTCCAGCCTCTGTAGCCACCAGCCTAAGTTGCCGCAAGTAACCCGCCTCAGTTGCAGCCAGCCTCTGTTGCAACCAACCAGTTGGCGATGATGAAATTTCACACATCCGATCCATAGTGGAATTGGTTGTTTTAAATCTGTATCAATGTTTGTAAAGTAGTATTTTCGTTTCGCTACTACTTGGACTGTATGTAAATGAAAGCCACAAAAACCATTTCATAATCACACAAGTTTTTTACTAAAAGCAGAATTGATTGTATGTATTTAGTGATTCATAAACACATGCTTTTGATATGGTCCAAAATATGGAATTGATTTTGTGGCTATTATTTACATTCAAGTCATCAACACATCAGGGTCCCTCCACATTGTAATTTCGACAGTGGAGGGAGTTCCATGAAGGTGTGTTGATGACTTGACATCACCTCAAGGTCCCTCCACGTTGTAATTTCGACCGTGGAGGGAGTCCCTTAAAGGGGTGCTGACAACGACCTGAATGATCTAGGTCTCCTCCACAATGTAATTTCAATGGCAGAGTGAGTCTCTTCCCACCTGTCTCAGTTGCTACCAGCTGCCAGCCTCAGTTGCCACCGCCTCAGTTACAACATGCCCCCGCCTTAGTTGCCATCTGCCCAGGTTGCCATCCTGTCTCAGTTGCCACCACCCTCACTTGCCACCTTCCGCCCGCCTCAGTTGCAGCCAACCTCAGTTTCAGCCAACATCAGTTGCACCCAGCCTCTGTTGCAACCAACCAGTTGGCGACGATGAATTTTTCACACATCCGATCCATAGTGGAATTGGTTGTTTAAAATCTGTATCAATGTTTGTAAAGTAGTATTTTCGTTTCGCTTCAACTTGGACTGTATGTAAATGAAAGCCACAAAAACCATTTCATAATCACACAAGTTTTTTACTAAAAGCAGATTTGATTGTATGAATTTAGTGATTCATAAACACATGCTTTTGATATGGTCAAAAATATGGAATGGACTCTTCTTTTAGTAGAGATTTATTATGATTATGGAATTTATTTTGTCGCTATTATTTACATTCAAGTCATCAACACATCAGGGTCCCTCCACATTGTAATTTCGACGGTGGAGGGAGTTCCATGAAGGTGTGTTGATGACTTGACATCACCTCAAGGTCCCTCCACGTTGTAATTTCGACCGTGGAGGGAGTCCCATAAAGGGGTGTTGACAATGACCTGAATGATCCAGGTCTCCTCCACAATGTAATTTCAATGGCAGAGTGAGTCTCTTCCTACCTGCCACAGTTTCTACCAGCTGCCATCCTCAGTTGCAACCAGCCACCGCCTCAGTTCCCTTCTGCCTTGGTTGCTGTTGTGTACGTGGACGAAATGAAAGGAATCACACAACGAAGTGACTGAATTCTAGATTTACTCCAGAGCCAAATGAATTCTTACAAAACCCGTATAGGTTTATGAAACGGAGCATGCACATAAATGGGAAGTGATTTTACATTATATTTAGAACACAACATATTTTCCCTCTCCCCAGGGAAAGTCCAGGGATAGTTTATGATATATGGCTGACTCAAACACTCTGTTAAGGAAACACAAATTAACCACTACCCTCATAGTCAGCCAGATAGGCAGGTCTCCTGATCACACGTTGTGGTCTCGGAGTCTTGGTCCCAGGATGTTTGGATTGCCTCTGTGAATGACTTCCCTCCTGTCATGTTTGATTTCAGGCCTTCTTTGATGAGTCTGTTGAAGCGTTCAATACCACCATTGCTCTGCGGATTGTATCTAGAGGTCTTCCGGTGTTGTATTCCCAGACCTGTCAGTAACTGTTCGAATTCATATGAGCAAAACTGTGGCCCATTATCAGATATGATGATGTCTGAAAGGCCCCATCTGGTGAAAAGGTTGGTGAGAACGTCGATGATTGTCTTCGAAGTCACTGTTTCTTGTAGCTGCAATCTCGGGCCATTTTGAATGCATATCATGCACGACGACAAGGAATCTCTTGTCCCTTGGAGCAATTTGGACTTCTCCAAATATATCAATCTGCAGTTGCTGCCATGGCTCCTCTGGCCATTGAATGAATTGTGCAGGAGCAGCAACAGGTTTCATGGGTTTCTCACTGAGAACACAGGCCTCACAGTCTTTCACGAACTTCTCAATTTGGCGGTCAATCCCTGGCCACCATACCGATTCACGGCACTTCTGTTTCATCCTTACTATCCCAGGATGACCGTTATGAGCCATGTAAAGTACCCTCTGCTGTAAACTCTCAGGAATAATGGCCCTTTCTCCTCTTCCCACACAGGCAGAATTGAAGATGAACAATTCATCTTTTATCTTCGCATACACTTCAAGACCATTTGGTGTCTCATTTGGCCAGCCGTTGGTGACAAAGTCTCTAACTTGTGTCAAGACTGTATCCTCTGTGGAAGTGTGTTTCAATTCTTCTGGGGTCACGAACTTTCCCAGTGATGCACACAACACAGACATGACATGTAATTCAGCCGCAGCTGAGAGCATTTCCTCTGCTGAGCATATCAGGGACAGTATTATTCTTCCCAGATGTGTACTGTACATCAAAGTTGTACTGATGGAGTCTATCTGACCATCTGTAGATGCGAAGAGGTTTGTGGCCTGAACCTGTTTTAGATAACAGTGTTGTAAGAGACTGGTGATCAGTGTGTAGGCCAAAGAGGTACACATGCCAGCGCTCACATGCACACACACACACCCTAGTGCTTCACGTTCTCCAGTCGAGTATTTTCGTTGTGTCTCGGTCAATGTACGAGACCAGAAAGCAATTGGACGCTCCTCTCCACTGATGACTTGTGATAGCACTGCCCCGAGTGCGATTCCAGAGTCATCAGTAGAGACGATAGTCTCAGCATCGGGATCAAAGTGTGCAAGTACTGGTGGGGAAGCGATGTCAGCTTTCAGCTGATTGAAGGAACTCTGCTGCAGTCTTTCCCACTGCCACTTTATGTCCTTACGTAGAAGTTTACGCAAAGGCCAGCTTTGTCTGTGTAGTTTGGAACAAACTTCAAGTAGATATTTGTTGTTCCTAGAAAGGAGGTGAGCTCAGTTCTGTTCATAGGTTCCTTCAGATCCAGAATAGCTTGGACGTTTGAAGTGGTGGGCTGAAACCCTTGTGCGGAGACCCTGAAGCCGAGGAAGTCCACCTCATCTGCTAAGAATTTGCACTTGTCTGCATTCAAAGTGACGTTGTAATGGGAAAGTTTAGTCAATACACGTTCCAGCCTTTGGTCAGGCTCAATCTGGTCTTTTCCATGAACGACGATGTCATCCATCATGTTTGGAGCTCCTTTCAATCCTTGTAGGATGCTTGAGAGTATTTTCTGGAATGCACTTGGGCTTGAGGACAGGCCGTAAGGCATGCGGCGATACTGGAAGACTCCCACATTAGTGACGAAAGCTGTCAGAAATCTACCTCTTTCAGCTTCACTTGTAGGTAGCTACGACCTAAGTCCAGCTTGGTGAATACTGTGGAGCCATGAAACTCTGCTGCAAGCTCTTCCATGGTTGGGAGCGGATACTTGTCCGGAATGATGGCTTTGTTGACCTCTTTCAGGTCTACACATAAACGAATTTCTCCAGACTTGCGACGTGCAATGACTAGATTGGATACCCATGGTGAAGAATCAATTCTCTCGATGATACCTTGTTGTTCCAGACGCTGAAGTTCTGTCTCTACTTCGGCTTGAATGCTGAGAGGTATCCTTCGTAACCGTTGTGAAACTGGTGGTACCTGTGGGTTGATCCGGGGTGAATGAGGGAATGATGAAATCTCTCCAAATCCTGAGAAGACGCTGGGGAACTGGCATATCACATCTGCCGTAGTTGTTCCCACGGTCTGTATGAGAGAACCATGTCTGTAGATTTGAAAGTCCAAAGCATCGAACAGATCAACGCCCATTAGACATGCACCTTGTCTTGAAATGTAGAATGGGTGTTTATGGATAATCTGTCCATCTAGCTCCACATCGAGATATGATATACCCACTATTTCCAGGGTTTCATCATTGTAGCTGAGGAGTGACTGCTTTGGAGCATGCAATTGGTATTTCACAAACTTACGCCTGTAAACAGTTTCATTCAAAATTGAGACCTTTGCACTGATATCCATTAGCAGAGTGACAGGTTCGTTAGCAATGAACAGGTCACATTTCTTGAAATTTCCTTGATTTGAATTTACAGTGAATACAACAGTATCTTCTTCATAATAGGAACTGTCACAATCTTCATAGGAATGTTCAAACTCTGTAGCATCAACCATTTTCACAGATGACATGGTACCGCCCCAGTTACTTGAACGGCACATTTTCTTAAGATGGTTCATTTTCCCACAAGATCCACCTTTCTTGCCTTTAGCTGGACAGGTTTTACTGTTAGCCAGATGCGAAGGCGATCCACAACAAAAGCAATAGGGCTGTGATGAATGTCCAGTTTCACTTCTTTTCTTTACTTTTCTCCTATTAACGTGTTGAACACTGGTTGCTGCAGGCTTGTTTTCACCTGTTTTGTTCTGCATAGTTTTAGCTTCTGAGATAGCTTCCTCAATCTGACATGCAAGTGTTGTAGCTTTTTCTAATGTCAATGTATCTGGTTCCATCAGTAATCTTTCACGAATACGTTGGTGGCAAGTTAGCTGGTCATGAACAAGTTCATTTGTCAAAGCCCCAAAGTTGCATGTGGAGGCGAGTTTGCGTAAGGCACTCAAGAAGTCGCGAGTTGTCTCCCCTGGCAACTGGTCCCGATGACGAAAATGCCATCTTTCGACAATAACGCTTGTTTTAGGACTGAACTGTTTCTTCAATGTATCTCTCGCACCGGTGTAACTATCAACTTCTTCACAGAAGGAAATATTCGCTGCCCTTCAGTTCCCAGACAGTGAATCAAAATAGCACGCCGGCGATCTTCACTGACCGTCGTGTCGCCAGTGAGACCGCTAGCCACTATGTACATATCGAACTGCTCAATCCATCTATTCCACGGAATTGGCGGCTCACATGGCTTAGCAAGAAAGGGGGGTTGTGAACAAAGTCCGTAATCCGCCATCTTCATCGCCAAATTATGTTGTGTACGTGGACGAAATGAAAGGAATCACACAACGAAGTGACTGAATTCTAGATTTACTCCAGAGCCAAATGTATCTTCCCAAGGAAAGTGAGTTAACTGACTATAAAAGTCAAGTTTCCACCCTTGCCAAACTAGGCTGGAAATTTGTGGCTTGATTGTGGACCACCGGTTGCAGTTGCGAGTTATGTCCCTTCTATGTCCCTCCTATTGACCAATCAGATTCCACCTCTCCTTTCTCTTGCATTTTCTTGAAACAAAACGACTACGCCCAGTCCAGACAATCTGACCGCTAATCACGATCTTTATTGTAATAAAATGGGTCTTACCTTGTAGAGTACATCAAATCACTTGAGCACCTTGATTAAAAACATGAGACATGGAAAACATCTATTGATGGCCAGTTGAAAGTATACAAGCTCTGCAAATCCTGCAATCTACTGAAATCTGCAAGGCAGTCACCATGTTGTTTATGAACAAAATGTTGATTTCGTTCCACAATTTTGATTGGACGATACTTAGTCTCGTTAGTCCAGCCAAAATACAAGTCCTGAAATTCCAGCCTAGTTTGGCAAGGGTGGAAACTGGACTTTATTTCGGGAAGATGGATACATTGTCCTATCACCAAACTGAACAAAGTATTTAAGAAATCTGCGCATCTCCCGCAAAAGGAAAAGATTACAACTGAACATGCTGGTGTTTTCAGGATCTGGGTTTGTGTGTAACGATCATCCACTTCCAAGTCCCTGATGGTGTCCATGTGTACCTCCTGATAACTCGGCAGCTCTGAGGTGTTGAGGGGTGTTTTATGTTTCATGGCTCATATTCCTACTATAAACACCCGCTAATACCTTCCAGTTGAACGACGACTCAGTTTTGTTCACAAGCATCTTCTCGGCATCTTCCTGAAGCAAGGGAGTTAAGTGATTTTTTTTTAAAATGGGAAAAGTCCAGTTTCAACCTTTGCTGAACTAGGCTGGAATTATGGAGTTGTATTCTGGCTTGACTAACGAGTCTATGCGTTGTCCAATCAAAATCGTGGAATAAAATCAATATTGGGTTCATTAACAACATGGCGACTGCCATGCAGATGTCAGTTGATTTCAGGATTTGCAGAGAATGTGTACCTTCATCTGGGCGTCAAGAGATGTTTTCTAAATGTTTTCAGGCTTCAATTCAAGGTGATTTGATGTACTTTGCGAGGTTAGACCCATTTTATTACAATGGTTGCTGTCATTTTGTTTAAAGAAGATGCAAGTGAAAGGAGAGGTGAAAATCTGATTGGTCACTAGGAGGGACATACAAGAGACATAACTCGTAACTGCCACTGGTGGCACCATGTTCGAGGCACGAATTTCCAGCCTAGTTTGACAAGGAAAATGCCATGTATCTGGTCCAAGTTAATATGAAACTGTTTACACTTACTCGGATTACTTTATCACGGATATGGTGAGTATATCAGATGATGTCAATTCCTGCACATGAAGCAGTGTAATTGGCACAGATGATGGAGAAGGTACCCTGTCATCACACCTGACGATAAAACAGTATTTTGTTAATTTAAGAATTTATTCAATAACTTCCATAACATACCGATCAATTCACATGTGTGACTAGTGATTCCCAGTTGTTGTACTGAGAACAATCAGGAAGTTTCACAGCTGACATATTGTCACAGAAACTTTTCTTCAGTTCATCTGCTACCTCAACAGCATCAGGTACATCACATTTGTCTATGAGTGTCGGCCGTTTCTCAGAGGATTCTAAAAGGAAAAGAGAACCGTTCCTTCATTGGGAGGCAACACAGAGTTCCTGCAAGGTTAAACCTCCTGTGACAACATCGGCTGGGTTATCCTTTGTGTTCACATAACGCCAGCTGTCTGCAGGAGTCAGGGATTGTATCTCAGAGACCCGAGTCCCAACAAACACCTTTGTACCCCCATACGACTCTGACTGAAGCCATGTCAAGACAGTTGTTGAGTCACTCCACAATATGGTATCTTGGATCGATAAGCTCAATTCTTTGTGGAGTATAGCTGCTAACTGTGTACCAGTATCGCAGCAGAGAGTTCTAGTCTGGGCATTGAGAGCAGCTTCTCAGGAGCCACTCTACTTCTCGCAGCCACAAAACTGACACCTATGTTACCGCTACCTTCTTCACTTCTCAAATAGGCAACTGAACCATAGGCACGCTCCGAAGCATCACAGAATATGTGCAGTTGTTTCTGTGACTGAGAAGGATCATGGTTTCTAGATGTGTAGCCTCTTGGTAGACACACTTGCGGGATATCACACACTTCAGATTCCCACTTACACCAATGATCATGAAGTTTTCCAGTTTCTATCACAGCGTCCCATTCATGTTTCGATCTCCTTAGGTCCTGCACCAAGATTCTGGCTCTTGACGTGAACAGTGTCAAGTAGCCGATAGGATCATACTATGTGGCAAGGATCTTATACACAACTTTCATTGTCAGCTTATCATACGTAACTGGTCGATACTGGTAGCTAAGTTCGTCAGCGTTACATTTCCAGTGCAATACAAGAGCAGGTTCCTGCTTATCATCATGTCAAAGACATGTCCACAGCTCGAAGGTATCTGACTTGGCCTCTGCAGACAAGTCTTCTAGTATCTCAGGTACATTGCAAGCCCACTGACAGATGTCAAAGCCACCTTCAGCAAGCACCTTTCTCAGATTTGTAACGTGTTTCTTTGCTTGGCCAGGATTCATCAGACTATCCAGGCAGTTGTCTACGTAGAAAGCCTCACCAACACATTTCATAACTTCAGTGTTCCGCCGCTGATTGTCAATTGCTTCGGTAGGGCAATGGTCACACAACATTGACTGCAAGTAGTCCCGAAGGTCAGTACCTGTCATTCTAGACATCTGGATCCACATTAATGATCATATTGCGCCACAGGAATCTGAGAATGGGTCTTCCACCACAGGAATCTGAGAATGGGTCTTCAGGTTGGAGTCGAATCTGGTGGAACATACCCTTTATATCACCTGATATTCCAATTTCCCAGTCCAGCTTGGTATGCACTGAGACTGGAGCTCGTTCCGGATCAAACACGATTGGTTGGGTTGGCAATATGAGATCTGCATGATCAGAACCCGTGAGGATAGTAGGGATAGCTTTGTCGATCATTGGCAAAGGTGTATTTCTCAAATGAAGGTAGTGCGTCTTGATGGCTTCCACTGGATACGAGTACTCTGACAAGCTGCTCTGAGGCGAAGGAATCTAACATCGGGTTTGTCTCTGGATGAGATCAGAAGGTTCACGCTGTGACCTTGGC